AAAAGTTTAATACCATAGCATTCTCTATGCAATTAGCAAGTGAAGAATTTACTGTTTCCTCATGTTCTTCAGATATGGCTGCCTTATACCGGTTGATCGTGCGAGATGTTGTGGTTACACCTAAATCAGCAAGAGTATCTATAGAAGCGTTAGAAGCACCAGTGGAATCCAAGTACATTGCAATATCTCTCTTGACATTATTCACAAACTTGTTACGGATCCCACAAAGAAAATAGCAACAAGCAGAAGCTGCTTTTTAACCCGTGCTTGTGAATCCTTATTTTTTGATGATGGGTTAGATGATAAATACAATTCATCAAAAAAGGTTTTAATCTCTTATCCTCTTTCTCCGCGGTTTCTCTAAGTTCATCAAATGTGTACACTGTGGATTTTTTTTCTTTTTCGTGAATATATAAAACCTTTGTTAGTACCGCAATTGCTTGAGAAAAAGTTAAAGTGTCGTTAGTAATTTCAATTTCAATCTCATCTATTTCATCACACTCACGCTCTCCCGTAGTGGCCTGAGATGCCTGAGAATGCTGCTTAAATTCAAAAGAGCTGTTTACTATAATTCCATTATAGCAGTTTATACAGACGGTATCATCTAGGCAAACATAATTTGGCAAAGTATTGTTAACTTGGGCTCGAGCGAGAAAATTCTCAGTTACTCTTCTTCAACGAGTCGACTACCTCTGGCAAATAGTAATAACGCATGGACCAATAAGAGGAGTAGTTGGCGGCATATTTTTCCCTTCTAATAAAACTTCTTGAGAATATTGATTATCTCTTTATTATTTTGCACAATAGTTATTAACATCCTTTTGAAGCTATGTACAATTAAAATTTTCGATTTTTGTTAGTGAAACATTGAATTCTTAAAAAGTACTTTAAAGTGTATAAATTAGTTACCCGGGCAATTGAATCGATCAGCCAATCAGACGAATGTCCTCCTATGAGTAATAGACACTAATCGGATAGACCAATGACTTCATGCATAGATAGTTTGTTTGTAATATGTATGTTATAGATATAGTCTATTGTTATTTGTGTGCAATCTTGCATTAAATATGTAGTCAGCGATGTATGGTTTGATGAAACTAATTTGAAGTCAGAGAATTGATATAAATAGAATAAAGAATTCGTAAGCGAATCCAGTTCTCTCTTTTCCAATAATAAGAAATCACTTAGTTAAATAAAATACAAACCTGTGGTTCCTCAAGTGGTCATGTGTGTGTTTCATAAAGTTAAGGTGTTGCTACAGAATCGAAGAAGATGTCGCCAAGTCTTGTGAGCTTGCTGGCAAACCCAAGTGCCCCAATCTGAGCTAAACTAGCACTAGAAGATTGTCCAGTGCATACCCACTTGACAAGGAAAGACCTGGGTACAAATAAAGGCCTTTCGCAAGAAATTTTCAACAACTAGCACAGGCCAAACACTGTGCAAAATAAAATAAATAAAAAAAAAAAAAAAAAAAGAGGGCAAAATTTTTAATGCCACATTCAACATACATAATAAAGCAAGACTTATCTGGGCAACAAAGAATGGGGGGCTCCAACTCAACAAAACCCATTTATCATGGCCATAACAATGAAGATGTGAAAGAGTTTCTTGAGAATTACGAAGCATATTGTGCATTAAAGGATTGGGATGATGATAAAAAATGACAAGTAGTTAGACTCCATGTATCTGAAGACCTGAAACCCTGAATTCGTAAACAAATTAAAGCCCAGACAGAACAATTATAAAATTTTTTTTTAAAAAAAAATATTTTTAAAATTTTACTATGTAAAGTACAAATTTTCTCTCTTGCAGAGAGAAGAGGGGGTAATATAAAACACAAAATTTAGTTGTTTTGCCTTATATTTTGTTTATATTTTATTATTTTATCACATTAAAATTCAAATTGTGTTAAAATTTTTTTGTCAGAGATTGAAAAATAACTTTGTAGTATTATATTTTTATATAAAAAAAGATTATTCTGATTCCAGAGATTCATATTTTTTATTTGGTATATAATAAGGTATTTGCCAAAAAGCAAAAAATACCAAGTTACAAGAAATTTTTTTTATAAAAAAAATTTTGGTCACATAGTGATAGAATTATGCATTACAACCAATCATAATATGAATCGAGTGTAACGTGATATTGGTTTTTCATCCTGATTGGTTAATTTTAAAGATCGACAAAAAGTTCACCTTTATGTTGATAAATTTCGAAAATCACCAAAAATTTCAGAAAATTTCTTTAAAAAATTTTTGACAGTTCTTGATCAGACAATAAATTCGCATCTGTCGCCACAGCAGATTCTCAATTTTTATTAGTTAACTGCCATGGTCTAAAAAAATTCAGCCCGCATTATACAATTGTTACGTAATTTTTGGCTGGAATTAAGTTTTTAACTTTTTTATTATAAAAATAGAAATTATAAGACTATGCTATAGTAAAATTAGTCCAGGAACATTTTTCACTTAATGGGCTCATTAGTTTACTTCATGTTGAATTATGCAATAATTATGATACATTAGCCAGGAAATAAAAAATTTGGCATTGGCTAGCTGGTCAGCTAAGCCGCTCTAGCCGACTACATCTACTATGTCTATAACCAGATGGCTAACCAACTATAGCCTAACCGAGCCCACACATAGTAACGAGAATCGGTTATTAGTGTTACGTAATGACGTGGGTGTTGTTACTACCCATAGGTGTTTACACTGCTATTGCAGCCACAGAGCTTAATCCCATCATAAGATCCTTTCACTACTATCGCAGCCACGGAGCCTAATCATCAAACATGAGGTCCTTGCACTACTACTGTAGCCACGGAGCCTAATTAAGCATGAGTTCCTTGCACTGCTATCTCAACTTGAAGTCCTTGCACTACTGTTATAGCCGCGGAGTCTAATTACAACATGAGATCTTGCAATGCTGCCACAGCCGCGGAGCCTGATCATCAACATGATGGTCTTGCACTGTTATTGCAGCTGCAAAGCCTAATTACAACCTGCTTGTGTAATTGTTTAAATAAGGTAAAATAAAATGCAAATAAATTAAGATTGAATTGAAAGCTAGATTAAAAAAATTGTCGAAAGACTAACTGCTAAGATAATCAAACTTTAATTTGTATACATTCATATTCTATTTAAAATTAGTCTTACATTCTGAGTGCAGAGTTCTTCTATTTTCGTTAAAAAGTGAGTAAATTTAAATTCTTAAAAAATCTTTAATTTTGCTTGGGCGGCTTTGCCGCCTATATTTGCAATTATCTTGTTTAAAAAGTAAAAATGGATATTGCAGCACTGCATGTTACAACCATTGTGAAGTGATTGATTGACTCAACTATAATTCTTTTTATAAATATATCATTTAAGAATTAATTTTTTTTATAAATATATCATTTAAGAATTAATTTTTTTTATAAATATATTTGAATGAAGCAGAGGCATTAGAGGATTTCAAAGTTAAAATGTGGAAATCTAATTTTAATTAAATTGATGACGTATTTATTTTGAAATAAGTGATTCGGCAGTCTGAACTTATTTTAATTTGAGCGAAAAGTTTTTTTTTTATTTTTTTTACGAAGTATGATAATATAAAAATATTGATGTAATACGTAATAATGGCTAAAGTTCTTTGATTTTAAAAATTTCTGATTTCATGAATGGGGATCTCCAAACATTCCCATTCATTTCCAATTCTAAAATTTTGAAAAACAAATAGGATTTTTCAAACTCTCATTTAATTTCAAAATGCCATCACTTTCATTTTCTGCCGATAATAAATGCACCTACCTTCATTGCTTTTAATAAAAAAAGATAAAACTGATTGCATTCAATTCTGAAGCATTGCTCTGTTGTGCAATCAATTTTCTGACTTTTCAATTAAAAATTGCAGCCACCAAGTTACAAGCAAATTAAGTTCAAATTTTTTTTTTTTTTATTGATCATTGAAAAGTATTGGCCAATATAAGTTAGTTTCTTTGACAATTGGTGTATCATTTTTTGGAATTTACTATTGCTATGAGATGACCTAAATAATATGACAATTAGACACACATGACTTGGATGTTAAGTACGTTCATTATAGATGCCTGACGAAACTTTCTAAAACACATATTTTTGGATTTCGTCATTTCGTCATGCATTATTAACTATACTGTATTTACAACTTATATAGCCCAAAATTCCGAGTTAAATATATCAGAACCAACTAAAATTGATTCTTTTAAATCAACTTTATAATTTAATATATGCGAAAAACTTATTATTAATTACTTGTATCGAATTAAAGCAAAAATCAAATTATAGTTAGATGATTATCAATTACATGTTATCTTTGTTAAAGTTTAAAAACTAATAACAGATTTTGATAATATTCAAACGCTCTGTATGTATCCTTTTTAACACCCAATTTCTTCCTTATATTAATAACCAACCATAATTATTTCATCATCACCCATGACTGTTACCAATTTAATCATTAATATAATAATACTTTTACATTAGTAAAAATATAGGACAACTTAGAATAATTTGGGACAATTTAGGAATTTTAGGACATCCAAAAACAAATCTTTTTATTTCAGGATAATCCGAAAACCAACTTTAGTCGGAATTGATCAATTTTGCCCAAGATCACTAAGAATTTTACTAATGAAACCATAGTCGTTCATTAAGTAAAAAAATGCCCAACTGATTATTTTACTATAGCTCCTGCTAACCCTAATCCCAACCCCAACTCTAACCACGATGCATTCCAGCCATTCCGACCAGAAATTTAAAGATCTTCCTGAAAAAATTTTTATTGCCAAGGACAAACCTTGGGATATACATACGTACGTACGTACGTACGTAAAAGGGTATACAAATTATGTAACAGGTAACACAACATCTGTGTTCAAATAACGCCATATGAAAAGCTGAAAAGTGGAACTTGTAACACTGTTCATTTTACGTATTTTTTTGTAAGACTAAAAAACGAATCACATAATTCAATACTCAACGATGAACCAGAAAACTCAAAGTTCTAATTTAATTTCAATGACATCTAAAACTATTGCCACAACTCCTACTCTCGTAAATGACTGCCTCTATTTAATTTTTAAGCTACTCATAACAAATAAAGATTTGTACTCTTGCGCTTTGGTTAGTAAATCTTGGGCTGCTATTGCTATACCAATCTTATGGGAGGCACCCTTTCGAAATGATTATGGCTTTATTCCATCTCCTGATGTTATTAATGTTTATATGGCATTTTTACCTCATAATGGGCATGGATCTAAACTATCTCCACATAGAATTCCTTTTGACTATCCTTCATATCTCAAAGAACTCCCTTTTGATCGTTTTTGCAATTTTGTTGGTAAACGGATATGGTTTCATTCTACAATAATCAAGCTACTCAAGATGTTTACTTCCCATGGTGCAATATTACGAAAATTTGAAATTTGTAGTACTCTGGCAAATCAGGAAATTTTAAACCAAGATTGGATAGTACTTCCAAGTAACCCTGAGTTCTCTTCACTGTTTGGCAATAATTTAACTTATTTCACTTGTGGTTTTCAATGGACATCTAAAAAGGTTGAACTTTTTAATGCATTAGCTTTAAATTGTCATAATATCAAGAACCTTAAAGTTAAAGTGTTTCGTGAAGATGAAGGAATAGCATTGGCAAATCTCATCTGTGCACAAAAGCAATTAAATAAATTTTCTCTATTAAATAGTAATAATTTCGCATCAATTGTTGTTCAAGCTCTAATATGTCATACAAGATCTCTTGGTAGTTTGTCATTTAAACATATGAATAATGGACATGCATTTCGCAATGCAGCTCCTTTCACCGAATATACGTTATGTCAGTTAAACAAAAAAGCTGTTGATGTTATAGTTCAATGCGCTAATGTTACCAAATTGAAGTTCATAGATTGTGAAGGATTAAATTCTTCTCAATATTACCCTATTGGCTTTGCTTTTTCAAATCTAACATCTCTAACTTATACGTTTGGTGCTTGTAAAGATTATGATTATACGACACCTATAAAATTATTATCTGATCTTATTAGAACAAGCTGTAATACGCTCGAAATGATTGTTTTTTTTTGGAGTACTGCTGAAATTCTAGATATATCTCAGCTCATTCAAGCAATTATATGCACAATTAGGCTCAAAGTGTTAAGAATCCCTCTTTATAAATTAGAAGAACTTTCTTTAATTTACCAATTCTGTGACAAATTAGAGAATCTCAATATTAATTTGTTCAAAACAATTAATCCAAATAATGCCTTAAGAATTTTTGCAAATAAGCAACATAACAATCTTAATACTATTTATATTTGGTTATATTATTTGAAACATGATGTTGAAATTGATGAAGCTCAATTGGATTGGATTTTTGCGTATATCTTTTTCAAGAATAAACAAATCAAAAAGTTTACTTTAGATGAAGTTTATATTGGAAAAATTTCAGATGATAAAAAAATATCTTTACAAAAAAAATATCCAAAGCTTAAACTTTTTGGATTTAATGATGAAAGAAAAAGAACATAAATTTATTTATAAAATGATCTAATATACTTAGACTTTTTATGAAAGGTAGTATTTTGTATACATATTTCTGTATTTATTATATTCTTAACATTTATGTTCATATATGTATACTATATTTTAGATATTATTTTTTATAATAAACATAGGCAGTACTTTTTAATCGCATCGTTGATCATTATTAATTATCAAATGAGGGTTTGAAAAATCTTATGTGTTTTTCAAGATTTTAAAATTGAAAAATGAAATGGGAGTGTTTGGAGATCCCATTTCATGAAATCGGAAAATTTTTATAATGCTTCATAAAAAAATAATAAATAAAAGTAAAAGTTTCGTTCAAAT